AGGTCCCTACACAAAACACTGAATGCAATTCTGTTCTCATCATATCTTCATTATGATCATCTAAATCTGACATGAATAGCACAAGCCAAGGAAACTTACTCAGTGACTTCTCAACTTCTGTATCAAATTAAGTTTCCGATCAAGCTATAAAATCTTTTTGGAAAGGGACACACACTTTTTTTTTTAAACTTAAATAACTACAACCTTTAACATGTACTTCCAAACAGTTTTCATGTTGTATACTATGCAGACAGTAAGATGCAGATACAGAGAAAGAGAGCAAGTATGAGCAAGTGCAAGCATGCACATATTAATATTAAAAATAGAAGGCCTCACTAAATAAAAGTGTTAAGAGAGCAATGTCTCTATTAGGAGAGCATGGTCTAAACAAAGAGTAGGCATCTACGGAAGCAAAGGACATTACAGGCAGAAGTGTCTGACACAGAAATAAACAATTTTTATGTTGAGAAGCATAAGCATACCACTAAGACAGCAATGGTGAATTTTCTCTAGTTCACAGAAATTCATGTTCTCCATCTTATATCACTACATTCTTTCTTCATTTGATGACTTATCTTTAGGGCAACTAAGGGTCTTAAATTTGCTAATTGTAATACAGTACAGTTGTTAGGTTTAAGGAACACACGGCAAAAGTTACGTGAAGAAGGGTATTTCGATTTTTGTTTAAGACTGAAAGGACAATGACACGCTTCTGTTAAGTTAATCAACGATTCATCTCTGTTTAAAAAAAATTAGTTTGTAAGATCTATAATAACAAAGCAGCAACACTTTCTTACCTCTATTCCATTTATCTTCTGTAGATTAAAATGGTTCAGTCTAAACAGAACATAGTATTTCCACAAAGTGAAGCTGATGACTGGATTTCCCTGAGGGTCAACAGTCAACTGTTCAATGCGATTCACCTGGGCTAATGCATTGAATTGCTGCAGTGCCGCAAGATTTGTTTCCTTAAACTTCAGGTGCTTTAACAAAAATATTCAAAGCACAATTAAATAAAGACAATTAGACCAGCAAGTAATTCCTATTCTATGCTACTCCAGTTATTTTCAAGCTCAAATAAAAACGTTTGACTAAAGAACTGGGCTCACCCGACTTACACAATCTAGAAGGCAAAATACATCAATGAATCAAGCAATCAGTGTATTCCATATATGTAAAAGCAGCATAATAAGCCCTTTCAGCAATTTATACCAGAAGTGTGGTATATTTGGCTCAACAGTGACAACACTGCTGCAAGTGGAAAGAGAGAAAAAAAAGAGATGGTGAAGATAAAAACTTTTGCTGGGATTCTGCAATCCCCCACAGATGCATTTACCTCATAGAAGCAATTAAGTTGTTAAAACCCTCAAAAGAAGTAGGGATTTGACCCAATTTAAAAATTACTTTACATATTATTATACATATCACTCCCCATCATATATCAGCGGTCCTGGTCAACAGCAGAAGTCCTAGATGGTCAAGGTGACACCCATCTAAAAGAAGGGTCAGAGAGAGGATCCAGGGAACTACAGGCCTGTCAGCCTGACCTTGGCATCGGGGAAAGTTATGGAGCAGATCATCCTGAGGGCAATCACATGGCATGTGTGTGACAACCAAAGAAAGAAATTTCAGCATTATAGTTAGTTAGATCAGACCCAGGCAGCATGGCCCTGTCTGACCAACCTGCTTCAAAATGATTGATTTAAATATCTGAGAAAGAACATGCTGAAGGGATCTCTTTGGTCACATTGCTTTGGTTCACCACAAACAATTCCAAGGGTTGTAGTCATTTAACTATAATCTTGAAATTTCTTCTATCACCTCTGTTTGGACTGTGAACTGCCAACACAAACAGAGGTCTCTTGATACTACGGATCTATAATAATATTGTAGAATATTACTATTTCCACATCATTTTTACAATTTAAAAACAAACAGCTAAGTCAAAAGAGTTGTAAGTCTAAAAACAAAACATAACATTGTTTAAGAATTTGAATTAAAACTTAGACAAAAAAAGTATTAAATTGAGCCATACAGATGAAAAACAAGTATCTAAGTCACAAATATATCTCATAGGTGAATGCTACCAAAGCATGAGGTAGCCAAAGTAATATCCTAATGAAGAACCTGTAAGCTGTTCCCTCAGTTGAAATTTGAAGTCTTACCACAAAATTAGGAAATTTGGTCTTCAATTTTGTTAACACTTGAACAATTTCATCAAACTCTATGAACATAAAGGAGACTGTGACAACAGCTGCAGCTGTTTGAACACTCCAGTTTCGATCCAGGCACTCCAGTGCTCCAGAACCATACAAGTAAAGGGTATCTCCTTCCACTTCTACCAAGTGAGACTCCAGAACAGACAAGCCTTGTACTGCACTGCTCAATATTGTATCAAGAGACCTGTGAAGAAGAAACACAGTAATATAAAAAAAGAGGTAATTATGAGATCGTAATGTATGCTTTACTCATGCAATAAAACCTGAACTGTCAAATATGATTGCAAGTATCAGTAGTTGTTCATTTACAATACCTAGCATGGTTCAAAAACATTAAGGGTTGGAAAAAATCAAGATGATGCTGAAACCGTTGAATCTGATGAGTTTCATTTTTGAAATGCAAAAACCTCCTCCCTGCACATAATGCTTCAGCCACAGCATGAATTTGCACTTGCGACTGAATTTGTTCAGACTAATTTTTCAGACTTCCACCTAAATGAGCCAGGTTGAAAGCACACCGCTTTTGTTGTAGCCCACCTGAGGTAGATATTTGTTCATTCAGTTTTGAACTTGTACTTTGAATTACATGGGGTGTTAGAAGGCCACCTCTGGATGTATTAAAATAAATTGCAAAGTAAACTAAATTTGTTCAGACTAATTTTTCTGGATGTATTAAAATAATGGATGTATTAAAATAAATTGCAAAGTATGTCATACAAGTAATATACATAGAATATTGATTGAGGGTATTTTGATTCACCCTCTTAAAAAAGCAACTGGATTATCATCTAGCATCTCACAATACCACCCTTAAATTGGGTGGACTGTAGCATCTCTAAAGGTGAAATTAGAAAGTTCATTTAGCATTCATCAAACAAAGTTTTAAAACTTGCCTAACTTTAAAAAAGACAAGATAGTTTTAAGACTGCAAAGAAAAGTCTAAGTTTCTTTTTCTGAAATAACAGTACTTTTTTTTTTTTTTTTTTTTTTTTTTTTAAAGGAATAATTAAGGGGGGAAAAATTCCAAGCAAAAGTCAAAGAACTACTATTTATGAAAAAGCATATTCAAAAACTAGTCCTATATGATAGAAGTTCAAAGCGAGTAGGAACATCAGGGTAATTTCTCTGTTGCTTTCTTTTCAAGCTGAAGGTTACTTGATCTAAGCTGCCCACGAAACACACAGGTTTAAGCATGCTTAAGAACTTACCTAATGTTTCCTGCAAGTGTGAAATCCTTCTTTATTTAGCAAGATTACATAATAATTCTGCTTTCACTTCTTTTGTCAATTGATAGTACACTTTTTACTAATCCCCAATAGATTTAACTGAGGAATAACAGATGTTTTCAGGCTTAATTTGAACATAATACTTCTGATAAGGAAATACAGTAAGATCTCACAGTTAATAAGTAACTTGGAATAAAAAACATAAATAGGAAGACATATTTCCCAATAAAATACCTGCTTTCTTCAGGAAATACATATGCAGCACTGCCATTGATTTGACACGGCTCATTATCTTTATCTGTATTCAACGAAGCCACAAGGGCTACTCGATTCTGCTGTATCTCCCACTGATGAGCAATATTACAAATTGTTAATCGTTTCTTTTCCTGAAACGAGATATGAAAGTCATAATAGATTATGACAGTGCAGTATCAACACACCGGCTTGTTCCAAAAGGCATATGTTGCTTACTCAAAATATTTAAATAGTTGTAAACATTTTGATTTGAAGATATAGTAGCACCAGTTAGCAGTTCTGCATTCATTTCAATGATTCAATGAATCTTTCTGGCATTATTTTGCCTAGTTGCCAATGAACAATAACTTCGCAAATTTAGAGCAAGAGAAACGAGATGTAACAAACAAAGCAAGAGCTGGTAGAAGCCTCTGTTTAAACTAATTACTCTGGCTAGCCACAGAAGCCTTGCTGTAACAACCTGGAGCTGGCTGCAAGCCTGCCGCAGAAGAGGGCAGGCAGCTTGTGACAGGCTCCCTGCTGCTAGTGATCTTAGCCCAAACTAACAGTTATGCAACTGCTACAGTCATAGCAGCAAATGAAACGATTGCATGGGGAAAACGTTGCCATCTTCTTAAGGGGGGTGAGGGGAGACTTCTTTTTTAAGGAGAAAATGAAGTTATCTTTGTGATTCACACAAGTAGTAGAACAGATCTAAGTTGAAACATTATTTTAAAATTCTAGACAGCTCCTCTCAATGAATCAGTGAAAGTCTTTGAGACATCCATTAAACACCTGTTCTTGTACAGTCATGCAAAGCCTGCCAGCTGCCTACAAGTCTATCTTTTAATATGTCCAGTGTTGCATGAGATACATTCACCATAGGGTTAAACAGCAAGGTGCTCTGGAACCAGCAGTTGGACTCTATTCAAATGAAAACTGTGCATGAAATAAATCATTTCAAAAGCTAAGTTAGCCCAGTTTCTTTTATTTTTTTCTCTCTGCCCTCTCCTGAAACAGATCTAACTGGTTGTGAATTAGCTGTCCCTGCATTACACTCTTAATGAAATTCAAAGAAACAGTAACTTAAAATTCTAAAAGGAAAGTATAAAGAGCTTAGTATAAAAATATATATATATATCCACAGAACATGGACAACACAGAGCACCAAAGTCACTGGTTTCTTTCTTTGTAAAAGTAAATTTTGTAAATAACAGAGAAATCCACTAAACTTTATATCCTGATAAAAATCAGGTCCAAAAAGTTGTTGATGAACAGTAATAAAAGTACAGGGAAACAACTTGATTTATACTTAAAATGTTTCTATTGTTTTTACTCTTTTTGGAATATGTATTTATATATACAAGAGCATTCTTAGCCAGTAAGACCTTTCAAACTGCTACAGATTTTTAAAATGCAGCTTTACTTGAGAGAACATCAGATTGCATTGTACAAATTAAAAACCTCACAGTATCAGAAAACTTAAGTGTTTATTGTTTTTTAAATGCCCAAGTTTTTTTTTTAAGAAGTAAAGAGCACAAAATTCTGCCGTGTTGCACTCAATTTGCCAAAAGACTTATCATATTATCTGATTATATAACACTGAGTATATATTTTTCGAAGACAAATACCTCATATCATAGAAAGTGGGAAGCTGAAATAGTGGGAATTTTTTTCAACTATATTTAAAAAAATTGTGTGTTCCGGAGGCCAGGGGTCTCTTTATCACTTCACCTACTGCCAGGGTCTACCTTTTCTCAGCCCTTAACTGTGATCTGACAACTTCTACAGAGTTTTCAAAACCTTATTTCACAGGAGCAAATTTTACAAGTGGGAGCTAGGAATAATTATTTTTCTTTCTAGTTAATACTAAGTTCAGCCACAAGTAAAAAGGAACCTTTCTCAAAGCAATGGGTTATAGCAGAGAGCAAAAGTAAGGCAATGAAGAAGCTCCACTCCGAACGTCACTGCTGTTGGAGCTATCCCATCCTGTGCACGTAAGTGCTAAGCAGGCCCCAGTTCTGGGTCCTGGGAGATGCAGGTCCTTATGAGAAGGATGACACCTGCAACCTACCTGCTGCTCGAATGACTGCTGAACTCCTTCTACAAAGAGGACCAACATCAACAGGAACAAAGGAAAAACTAGTTCAAAATACTCTCTGACAACTACCCTAGCAGCTAGAGTACTCACCAAAAACACAGCAGACCAAGTTCAAGGAATTTCAAATCACTGCAAAGCCCGTAACTTGTGGATTTATTTTATTTCTAGATTTGAGAAAGTGAAGTTTGCCATCCATTACCAGTCCCATGTAATGAATTGGGGTTTTTGCTATAGTACTGGATGGTTTAGGGAGGAGGGTTTCAGTCATAGATGCAGTGTTTAAACTGTTAAAAAATGCTTTGAAGAGATAGAAGCATATGGGACATAAAAAAATTACAGAAAAAATAGCAGGATGTGGACTATTACTACAAACTAGTTCACAGCATGTTTATCTAATTTCTGTCAGTCACAGAAAGTACCTTAAGCAAAGTCTGTTTATGGCTTTCACGCTTCCTTTCTTCCTCTCTCCTTACTGCAACTGATGCCATGCGCCTTTCTTCTTCCTAGATGAAGAAATAAAAACAATGTTATAAGAGTAGAAATAGTAGAAATTCTGAAAATACCACTGATAAACTATTAATATTCCTTAATGTGGGTATTTGAAATATTTTTTGCAAGATAATATGGCTTTAGAACAGTATCAAGAAGAATACAAAGGAATAGCAAACAATGTTTTTGGCAAAGGCAATAGAAACTCACAGCGACCATGATACACACTTGGCCAAATTCACACTGAAGCTATATTTATATATGTTATTTATTTATTTTACCCCAACTACCAAGATGAAGAGTTTTGAGATGTCATGTTGAGTCATGCTCAAACTACCTGTCTTGACTGCATGCAAACATATGTCCTGTAATAACTTCACTTTGGAGAGTGCAAGTTAACAAACTGAAAGGAGAAACATTATTTAGAACACAGTGAATTATATTCTGTAACAGTGATTTATATCTTCAGCATTTTTGTACCAGTTACTCTATTTAATAGCTTTTTTATATGAAAATGCACATAAAGTGAGTGAGCTGAATTCCATTTATGCCTGTATCCTAGCTTAAGGAGATTCATTTTTATAGCTACAAGCTATTTCCAGTGGCTTGCTTTTCTCAATCAGTAACAGAACTTGAGAAGGAAACAGTACTTTCAAAGTTAACTATAACACGTGAACAATATTTCTCATCAATGTTTTCATTCAAGAACAGAAACATTAATTTCTGAGTCATGCAGCAAAGATGCTTAATTTTCCTCATATAGGAATTCAGCACTGCAGGACAGCCATATTAGGTTGAATACTGTCTGTTTACAAAAGTCTAAATATTCTCACAGCACAATATTTTTAGAACATACATTTTTCAAGTAACAAAAAAAATATTCACTACAAAGTAAAAAGTCTAGAGTTCTTCCAACACAAATATTTTAGGAGCATATTTCAACTTGTTTTAATTCATATGCCATTTGGGTGTTTCTATTAAAGTATCTTTCAAGAACACAGAGAAACTGTTTGGTTTGCCTTAAAATAGAAAGCTCAGGTTCCAGATAGGAGACCCTTGCCTTTTCACTTTCACTTTCCAGAAATTTGTGCTTGAACAAAAAGAAAAGAACGGAAAGCAGAAAGCATCAATATCCAAGACAAATGAACATTTGACGTTTTCCACACAGATTATTCTGTGTTTAGAGTATCTTGAGAACCCCCAAGCACATGGATGAATGCTTACTGGAAGATGAAATAAGACAGGGAATTCCCATTTAGCATTACTGTCACACCCCCAGGTAAATCATTCTTAAAGTTTAAGCTGCTAAGTTTCCACAGCAAGGGCACTTGTTTCATGTAGCTCACTTCAAGCCCAATGGTAAATCATGAAGTTTGACACCAATCTTTAAAGTGATTGAACAACAAACTTCAAAACTGCCCCTGATAACTTTAACCTATCAGGCTTAGTACAGAAGGGGTCTACCCTAGCTCAGATGAAGGCATGAGACCCTGGGTGGGGAAGCTTTTCTTGCAGTCTTACACAACATTTGTCTGGAACACAAGAAGCTTTTGCCTACCCCCGCCTAAAAGCTGCTTACGACCTCCTGAGCATGAGGTTTTGCTGGCAGCTTTCTCTGCTACTGGGCTACTCGGTTTTTCCCTGAGCTGGGGATTACCAAGGGGCTGATGTCATACAAGTACAAAATAATTCAGATCGGGAGGGACCTCGGGAGGTCACTTATTCGTGTTTCTACTAAAAGGAACATCACCAATAAATTCAAAAAAACAGATACAGAAAGCCTTACAGAACCTGGGACTTTAAAGTACCATGTAATAAAGCTGAATACATGAATGGGAAGAGGCTGAGGCTGTCCAAATTACCCAGGGTGGGGTGGAAACACCCGCATTCCAGGTACATGCCACAAACATCAGCATGTAACCAGTAATGCAAGATAAAAATACACTGGTCCTATCAGTCTGTATCATACAAGGTATGACACAAAATGCTAAGAATTCAGAGAAGGATTCGTATGGCAGCTATTTAGAGCCTTTCAATTAACTGGATTAGTATAAACTTTGCAGACAAAAAGAAGTCTTATTATGGACATTGAAAAAAATATTTTTTTAAATATATTTTACAGAAAAATATACTCAGTCTAAAAAAATCCGAACTTCACTCAGTATTGTTATAAGTGAAGTGACAGAGAATATATTTGCATAAAGACCAGGGGCCAAAATTTACTCGTTATGGAAATTAAATCTGTATAGCTTTCTTGACTAATCTTACATAACACATGCAATCAATCATGAAAAAACAAAGTTATAAAACAAAGCCTTTAATAATCTTGCTACAATTCATTCAATATCACCCACTCTTCCTTTTTTTAGCTCCAGCTCTTTTGGAATTTTCCATGTCTACTACTATTTTTTTTTTTTTTTTTTTTTGCTTCTCATTACTCTGTTGCTATTGTCTGTAACTTTATATGTCTCCTCTTGATAGTTCCCAGATGAGCTAAGGCTATTTTAAATCCTATCTTCTATGTCTTGTCCTTTCGTATGTTCAAAACAATTAAGTTTTAGGCTAATAATAATACATATTTGATTTCCATTAAAGAATTGTTGACAGCTCTGCCACCTACCAAACTGATCCAAACCTATT